GAATCCAAGTAACCCATTTGTATCCTAGTACTTCCTGACCCTACTGTAAATGGAACAGTCATATGAAGCAACTTGGACTATGAAAGGTGTGATAATCAAGGGTTCAAATATTTCAGGAATGAGGGTTTGGTTCATACCACCTGGCAAGCCACCAAGACCTGCTGAAGGAATCACTGAGGATAAAAGGCATTTAGAAAGAAGTTGGAGAATAACTGTAGTGATAGGAACTTTAGTTCATCACACTAACCTCCCTCTTCCTCATTTTTGCTCAGGAAGAAAGGCCCATGGAACCCATGGAGGAGCTGCTCCTGAACCTGTGTGATGAAGTAGATCTGAGTGGTGCAAGGGCTCAATGTGGTGGCCATGAGAATAAACTTTGCAGACCCCCCCCCCCACAGCAGGTAGTATAACTGACCATAAAGCCCAGCTGTTGTGCTCTGAAATCCAAAACTCATTTATGCTGAGGTCACAATGCTCCATGGGCTGCTCCCAGTCAATGACTGAGAGTGGCAGGAATATGAAGGCAGATCCATTCCTGGGAGACATGGGACTCCTCTGGTGGGCAACCCTGGTTTGAGGACATTCTCAGACAGCTTTGTCAAACCTCCCTTATACTGCAGGTCTGTCTGGAACAATGCCAGGCAATGTCCCTACCCTCCTTCCTTCAATCAGAGTCAGATTTGCTTGTGGTTTTATCACCATCCCAGCTTTACCCAGCTCCTCTCCTATTTTCCTTCGCATAGATACTTCTCCTAATGGAAACCTTGAACAATTAATTTTGCCATCTGTTTTTTTTTTTGAGGGCCTCAGTGATATATATTATTAAGGTGGGAGTTTTATGAGTAAGCACAAGGTCCTTATTTACCATCAACAAGGAAAATGAAGCAAACTAGTGAAATCACTATCTTAAAGACAAACAGTGAAGAAGCGAGTGTAGTGTGGTGAGACCATACAACAACATGTCTTAAAAGAAACAATCTAGATAGTGATATTTATGTCCTTGCAGTTGTTTAAAATTTGGTTGAGTGACCTCCTAATGGGACAGAATCTAGGTATATTTGTGTTTCTGTAAAAAACACACAACCTAAGAGGTAAGACTGGACAAGGTTCAGACTGCTGGTGGTGCAGCCAAAAGGTAATGAAAATTATTTTCCAATCCTACTTTTCACGTTAAAAAAAATTTTTTTTAATGTTTTATTTATTTTTTAGGCAGAGAGAGACAGAGCATGAGCAGGGGAGGGGCAGAGAGAGAGGGAGACACAGAATCCTTAGCAGGCTCCAGGCTCCAAGCTGTCAGCACAGAGTCTGAGGCGGGGCTTGAACTCAAAGTCTGTGAGATCATGACCCGAGCCAAAGTTGGAAGCTTAACTGACTAAACCACCCAAGTGCCCCTACTTTTCACTTTTTTAAAAAATTGAGGAAGGTTGAATTCACATTCCATATCAACATTTGGTGAAATCTTCCACTTAGCCAGTTCCTTGACAATTCTGCTCCAGTCTTCCTTTCCACAATCTCCTTTCCAGTTGTTCCACATCTGGTTGCTTTCTCCCACCCACTTTCTACAAGATTTCCCACTCTCCTCTCTGCCCTCTTTACCCATTTTCATTACATTCTTTACAACAGATGTCTGGCCAACGTTGAAAATGTTTCCAAGAAAATTCATTCTACTCTTATTACTAACATCATCAGAAAGGACTTTTGAACAGTTAAAAATGTCAATGCATTGTTTGAGAAGCTGGAAGTAATGCCTCTGGAAGTGTTCAAGTAAAGGTAATCTCCCCAGTGTCCTTTCTTTTTCACATTCAATGATTCTAAGTCTTCCCTATATAAAATCCTTAGGAGATTCTCTTTTTAAAAAGACGTGAAATAATTAGCCACAGGTGCTTCTATAACAGTGTAGAGAATTGACAGCTTTTGAAAGGCCTTTAATCAGGTTATTATTTTATTTACATTTCCTTTATTTTTTTCTTCTGCAAAAAGCCAAAGATAAGTTTCAGTCTGTCAGGACTGTCATAAAGTCTGAATCATCAATGTCAAAAATCATGCTATTCTTCTTTTTTTACACTTATATGGTTGTTCCCTTCTGTTGGTTGTTGTGTTTCCTGAAATGAGAGTTTTCCAGAATTCCAAATTCAAAAAGTTTAGCATAGTTTGTTTTGAATTGAATCATCACTATCAAAGGTTTTCAATGTTAATATTTCTCTGTAAAGTTTTGGGGAATCACTCATTTTAGGTCTTCAGCAATATGAGCAGGAAACAACAACAAAAAAGATACATGGCTTTTTCCTTCTTTGAACATAACTTTTTATTCACATTTTCCTTATGTCTTCTGTTCCACTTAACGATAAAATGAAAAAGTTTCCATGAAATAAGCTAAGAATTCTGGAACTTAGTCATAATTTATTTCCTTTATCAGATATCTCTTCTGAAGCTAAGTTTTAAGTCAAAAATAAATTTCATAATACTTTTATGTTTGCGGAATCTTGTTGTGATGACAAAAATTACTTCTAACTACTTTGAATGTACTTTAATTTACTACGAAAGTGTTACATCCTTTTTCTTTTTTAACCAAACTTTATCAATCATTGTCAATGCAGCAAAAGTTGGTATCGAATACAAATTTCACAAGTGACAAAGATATTTTTAAAACCTATATAGAAATTATTAGAGTTTATGGAAATATAGTTTTAGATCAAGATTAAGTAGTATACATAGGTTATGTGTCATATATATGCCATTAAAATGTCATTATATATAATATGCATATATATACATATATCTATATCTATACATGATTTTAAGGTGTCAATATATGGCATCCACCACAACATTTGGATATACATTCTGAATTTCTCAGTTGACAGAACAGTCTGGTCTCTTGTATTTTTTCCTTTCATTCCTTTTTTTAAGAGTCATGTAATACTTAAGGTAGAAAACTATCTAGCATAACATCAATTTCCTTTGCATTACCTTTTTGATTTCCCCGTGAAATGAAGTCTTGTGCTCCTTCCAGAACAACTCCAAAATTCCTTGACATTCCATGTACTGTTTTGATTGTTTCTGAAATAATTCCTGGGGCCCATAATATATCTGTGCCTCATATCTAAAGATACATTGTATATATTATAGTTGATTTGAACACTTTCCAAGAAAAACTTCAATATGTATGGTTATGAAACTGTTTTTATGTTTTGCTTATATGTCTACTGTACAAGCCCAAAATTTTTAAAGCAGCATACTTTATTCAAAGAATGATTAATTCAATGTTGTTAAAATTGCTTCTGTTTTCCCAAAGCAAGCAGCAGCATTATATTTTTATGCAGGAGAGTAAAGATCCTAATGTAACAGTAACTCTTCCTCCTCAACTCCCTTCTGCCAAACACACACACACACACACACACACACACACACACACACCCCTTCTGGTTACAAGTAGAAGTTTAAATAAATGCATTTACTTCCCCTCTTCCCTGAGATCTATTAATACAAAAGAAGAAAAAAATGATATAAACTCATAAATGAAGAAACAGGTGAGATGCCTCAGTAATTAAGAATTGTAAAGTATTTGTGGAAGATATGAAGTAAGTAGAAAAAAGGAAACAAGAAACAATATTTCCTAGGGAACATGAAGAGGAAATAGAGCCAAAAAGAGAGATTTCTTTCTCTTTAGAATCCAAGAGCACTGGGAACTGAGAAAGTCCAGCTAAAATGAGGTAATATGGGAAACTGAGCGCTGAATATGCATTAATTGAATATCTACATAAGGAGGACTCACTGGCCTGAACACAAATTATTTGCCCAATTTGCTTGCAGAATGCCAAGCGGGTAACAGTCTACCTTTGACAATAGATAAATTAACAAATTAAGTTAAGTCTGAAGTGTCCTCTTTATAAAAATTGAAAAACCTGTTTTAGTTCGAGCTGCTCTAAGAAGGTACAATAGACAGTGGCTTATAAACAATGGACATTTATTGTTCATAGCTCTGGAGGCTACAAGTCTTTGATCAGGGTGCCAGCATGGTCAGGTTCTGGTGAGAGCCCTTTTTCAGGTTGTGGACTACTCTCTTCTCATTTTTTCCCAGATACGTAAGAGAGAACTTTAGAAAGTGAGCTCCAGAGCTCCCCGGGGGTCCCTTTTATAATGACACTAATTCCATTCATGAGGGCTCCACCCTCATGACTAATTACTTCTCTAAGATCTTCCGTCCTAATATTACCATATCTGAGGGTAGGATTTCAACATATGAATTTGGGGCACAGCACAAACATTCAGGCCATTGAACTGAGATCAGGGATTTCTGTATTTTGGTGACTTTAGAAAATTGGTTAATTCTTTGCATCCACATTATAAAGCAAATGTGTTCTTTATTTTTTTTAATTTTTTTAACATTTTTTTTATTTATTTTTGAGACAGAGAGAGAGCATGAGCAGGGGAGGGTCAGAGATAGAGGGAGACACAGAATCCGAAACAGGCTCCAGGCTCTGAGCTGTCAGCCCAGAGCCCGATGCAGGGCTCGAACTCACGGACCGCGAGATCATGACCTGAGCAGAAGTTGGACGCCCAACCGACTGAGCCACCCAGGCGCCCCGCAAATGTGCTTTTTAGTAAAACTAAAGAATTGGTTATTTGTACTGCCTCCACTTTCTAACTTGTCATTCTCTCCTGGATCTGCTCCATGAAACAGCTTTTGACAGGGTCACCAAACATCTCTATATTTTAAAATCCAATGGTCAAGGTTCATTTTCTGTCTCCCTATTTTCCTTCCTTCCTTCCTTCCTTCCTTCCTTCCTTCCTTCCTCCCTCCCTCCCTCCCTCCCTCCCTCCCTTCCTTCCTTCCTTCCTTCCTTCCTTCCTTCCTTCCCTCTCTCTCTCCCTTCCTTTCTTCTTCCTTCTTTCCTCCCTCTTGCTCTTTCTCCCTCTCTCTCTCTTTCCCTTTCTCTCCTTCTCACCTTGATAGTTGATCTGTCCTTTCTTGAAAAACCTTTTCCACTTGCTTTCAAGACTCCATGCTTTACTGATTAACCTGTTACCTCACTAGATGGTCCTTTCCAATGTCCTTGGCTGGATTTTTCTCTTACCAATTACTAGGCATTGGTGTGCCTCTGAGATCTCTTCGCTCTGTCCACACTCTCTCTATAAGTAATCTCATGTGGTCCTATTCAACAAACACAATTGTGGAAAAAATTCTTTAAGCCAAATCATTTTGAGCTGATATTTTTCGCAGTAATACTTAACTGAAATATAGGATTAACTAAGGAATTGCGTATGTATGCATTTGTATATCTGTTGCTATAAATACAGACTTTAAAATAAAAAACTGTAGCATTCTGTATAGGTTGTCTTGAGAATTGCACCTGGTCCTTCTCACTTTTTATAAGTATGTTTTTGATGATTAAATATTATTTATAGTGGCTTCATCTTTGTTATTTAGATGTGCTCACATTTACTTAAATAATACTTTGTTATTGAACCTTAAAGCTGTACTCAATTTTTTTTACTATTATAACTAACCATTTAGCTCTTTAGAGCTAAATCTTTACATACCTTGATAAATTATTTAATAAACATTTGGAAGCATAGTTGTTAAATCAGTTAAGTACACTAAATACTTTTACCAAGTTCCCATGAAGAAAGTCTATAGCCAATTTACATAGCTATCAACCATGCCTGAGAACTATATCACTAGTATTTATTGCCTAATTTAGTTTTTGGTATCTAGTCTTAATAGATATTTATTAGATATCTAGTCTTAATACTATATAAGAAAATAAATATATTTGAGGATTGAACTTGTGATGTTGAGAAAAATATTACTAGAAGGCAAAAAATTTCATCTTTATTTTCTTTATTTTTTAAGCTTATTTATCTTGAGAGAGAGAGAGAGAGAGAGAGAGAGAGAGAGAATGTGAGTGAAGGTGGGGCAGAGAGAGAGAGAGAGAGAGACAGACAGAATGTGAGTGAGGGTGGGCAGAGAGAGAGAGAGAGAGAGAGAGAGAATCCCAAGCAGGCTGTCAGCGCAGAGCCTGAGTGGAGCTTGAATTCACAAACTGTGAGATCATGACCTGAGCTGAAATCAAGAGTTGGATACTTAACCAACTGAGCCACCCATGCACCCCTAAAATTTCATCTTTATGATGAATGATGAAATATTCATTAAAGATAAACTCTTTATCTCAGAAACTGAAGAAACTGGCACTTGAAAATTAGTTCTAACTCAAAGTGTGAAAGGAAAAGAATTGTATTACAGGAAAATTTCTGAAAATATTACTTAAATTTTATTACAATTTCCTTTGGTCTTGGATTCTCTTGTTATTGAAAAAAATATATTGATAGGCATTTAAGACTCCATGTAGCTGCTTTCCTGACATACATTAATTATTTCAGTTATACTGTTAAAGAGTATCTTATGATTACTGAATTATCTTTTATTACAAGAAAAAAATTCCAAATCATTTGGCAATCTTTAACACTGATAACTCTTAGTTTTATACACACACACACACTGTATACACACAAACACATATGAATATATATATTCTAACTTATTCCAAGTATATATATATATATATATATATATATATATATATGTGTGTGTGTGTGTGTCTATCTATCATCTATGTATCTATATAAAGTTTACTTATTTATTTTGATAGAGAGAGAGAGAGCAAGCGTGAGTGGGGCAGGAGCAGAGGGAGAGGGAGAGGGAGAATCCCAAGCAGGCTGTGCGCTCTATGCTGAAACTGGACACAGGGCTTGATCTCATGACTGTG